GGATTCTCATATAAGGGTGACTTGGAGTACATAGCAAATTATTTGCAGTTATCAGGTCAGCTCCTATCCTTCGATAGCTCGAAAATGAAGATTCCCAATTCATTAACGAGTGATTACAAGATTTTCTCCATTTTGTTACAAATCATATAAGAAATAGAATGCACCTTACCCATCGTATTATTATACAAAACCGTACAGTAACTTTTACTTGGCAAAGCCATAGATAAAAACTGACATTTTTTAGGCACATCATAAGTGGATTTCTCGTTTCATTAGAACAACAGTATGCTGAAACGACAGTGTGAAAATTTTGAGATTTCGTAGCGGTTTCCGAAGCAGTTAACTTTGTTATGAACAACGTAAACTTAGTTGTCTTCATTGAGTGCTTCACGCTGTTCCCAATTTGATCATCAGTCTAAGGGTCAAATTAAAGTTAAACGTTTAATGGATGACATATTTGGCTACCTAAATTATGAGGTTTCTGCCTAACTTGTTTGAAGACATCGTAAAAGCTAAGTTACAAATAAACCTAGATTTCAGCCGATATTCGAATCTTTGCTTCGATAATACTGTCATATCAGGATTTAGTAAGGAAATTTGCTATTAAATGTTTCAAATAGGGTTTCCGATGGAAGAACTATGGTTTATATATACACATTACCTTGGCTACTATTTTCTGCGGATTTCAGTGAGCATGAAGATAATATATACTCGTGGAAATGTCCAAAGTTGGATAATAAGGAACTTCAGGCTACTGATATATATCACCTCTCAGAACACAATTCTCGTCAAGTAACTATCAAAAGTACTCAGTTTGAGAGCACAGGTCACTAGCACCCTATTTCAGAGGACTTAACCCATGTGGTCTATGCTGGAGGTTATGTCACTGACAGATAGGCATGGTACAACCAACGAGATTTGGCCCTACTTCAAAGTTTTAGTTGTTAGACATATACGTCTTCCACTAGTTAATAAATGATGGAAATACTCGGCTACCATCCAAGGTTACAAATTTCGGATTCAACCAACCAGAAAAAGTCTTGAAAGCATCCTAATGGTCACCAATCATTCTGAAACTTTTAACTGATAATATGAGAGCAACATCCATTTTGTGAGAAGTTAAAGGTGCCTTCAGAACTTACACTTTCTTATGATAACCGTGATCTTCCTTTTCTTCAAATCCATTCCATCCTCAGGTTGGAGTAATATTTGAATTGGACACAAAATCAAGGCTGGTGTTGGGAAAAACAAAAGAGAGAAATTAGGATAGGAACGAAGACAAGTACAACTGCAGAGTGACACGACATATTAAAAAGGCCATAAATAAACTTCGAAATAATGAAGTTGTCTTTTTTTATATTTGGGACCTGTAAATCTACATTACGACGAACTATCACTATTCCTACATGGTAGAAAACTTCAAAATATTCACTCTAGTTCACATGGAATAATGTAAGAAGTGATAATAGATTACAAATAAGCGAGTTTAGTCTGGCTGAAACATCGGGAACAAAAACGAGTCTACACATTAAACAGAACAGAACGTGAGATGAAATACGGCACTTTTAACAGCTTACATCTATAATGCAGTATCTTTGAAACCCATGACCTAACTCATGAATCAGTTAGTTTCTTAGAAAAGGGGTGATAAATAAGACATAACTTTGATCCAAATCTTCTCATCTATCAATTTTCGTGAGAAATGTTTGGATTTTGATATAAAACATGGTTATTACCAACATTTACCCTTAGTTACGCCATAGAATCCAATTCTGGGTGAATAATTAATGGAATCCCTCTGTGTGTCTTTTCCTCTATGATTGTTTTCTTGTTTTCCTCTCTATCTAAAATGTCCATCGTCGCCGTCTGTGTTCATTGACACATTTATGCAACAAAATACCTTATCTTGCACTTAACTTTTAAGTATTAATATCCGGTATTATTTTTTGTTTCTTTTCAGTTTCAGTCTGAATAACACCAGGATCATTGCTTTAGCTTGTCCTTTGCTTGTCCATTTGTACTTCTGTTACATAGACTCCCATTGATTGTCTTAATTTAGCCTTACTTGACTTTTATATCATCCGGCTGCTGGGTCACTGAAAGTCGATCAGATCGTTGATCCCCGTCAAGGTCAAAGACAACCAGCGCACAACAGTTAGTCGTACACCATGGACTGACCTGAGCGGCGGTGGTCACGCTTTTGCTTCTGCTTACTTTAACTTATATATTTCTGTGATAACGTCCTTTTTGTTGTACGGTCTTCAAGGAATCCATTGTGCCCTAATACGACGAAGAGGTAATCCACGTTAGGTGATGAGCACAAGGTGCGACTTTGATGTTAGCTGTTGATCACACCATTTCTGTCTAAATCGAATAGGTCCCTAATCATTCGAAAGAAATCAGCAACGTTGATGATCCACGTGTGTAGTTTGATTTTCGCTATTAAACTGATCATTTTTAGTGAAGAAATATCATATCTCTTATTAGTTAGAAATGTTTGTGCTTCTGGAGACATTGATTGACAATCTGAATATAATGAACTTATATATTCATTAAAAACGTTTATAAATTAAGTGAGCCATTTTTAATTTGGTGTTACATTTAGACCTACAAACGTTGTCAAAAAAACTGTTCGAATTATGTAATCTAGTGCGGTTTGTTTAGGCATCTTATGAGATTCAAATTTATAATCAGAACCATACCATACCAACACATTGTGTGGTGAATTTATGTGAAGGGAAGAAAACGACTCGTGACTGCAATATTCACATCCAAATATGGAAAGATTTACAATGCAGTTACCTATTCTGACTTTCTAAGACGGGAGAAATAAAAGAATCACGACACAGGGATTGGTTTCGCTGTGTAATCAATAATTCGTACAATTAAATTTATCAACAAGTTTGTTAACACTATTTGTTACAATTGTCCGGTTGATGACTAAAATGGCGAACATCGTTCTTCTTTTGTCGGTTACTCTCACAAACCCTGAAACCCAATCATGGAATGTCAACACCAGATACAACATTTGCTGGAATCATAGACGTAAATACAGACACTTCGGTTCCAAAAACAGGACACTGGCAAGATAAAGCAAGCTCACTAGGTGTCCTGGCATATAGTGAAGCCGCTAAAGATATTCTTCGTTGTAAAAAAGATTTTTGGAATTATTCTGCCATCGACACCGTTAAACTTATACTGTTGGAGTAAAAGAGCCTTTTAGAGGCAATAACACACCATAAATCATGACATTGAGAATAACTAATACAAAGTTGTCGGACTCTTATGGAAAAATGTTCATCATTACTAAAAACAGACGTCTAAAAAGGTAACGCATCGACACGACCGCTACAAGAGATAACATTTAGAATATTTTAGTCGATATTATCTGATCACAGCTGTTTTTATCAAGGGTTTCCAAATTATACGGACAAACTTTCGTGATGATTCGGTTAGTCCTCGTTGGAAAACTGGCCCATTGGCTGCCTCATTGTCTTGAACATGAGAATTTTACCGTACCAGTATATTACATTCTCGATGAATTCGTCAGTGGAAAACTAACTTTGCATCATACTGAAGTGTTACAAACTGATATTAAGTCAGCCGTAACGTTTTAAAGAAAATATAAACGCACTATTCGATTAAATAAAAGTTAGGACAACCACGTCAGTAAATAACCACTCATCGACCAGTCTTACATCAGTGATGCACCGATTCTAAGAAAAATCATTCATGTTACCGTCCTGACCGACAAGACAGAATAATCTGCCAGTTAAAAAATATTACGATTGTAGGGCAGGTCGTTCTTGTTTGTCGAGACTTTGCACTTAAAAAGGTCACCGCGTTACTGTCAGGAGTATGAGTGTAGTCGTAGCGTTAGATCACAGGAAAGCCTTTCGTATGGTGTGAAACTCCAGTAATGTTCTTCACCGAAGATCTTTTGATGGATAGGATAATTATTGGTGGTGCAACGAAATCTTATATTGGCCTTATTTTCATTAACAGACACTCATTTATCTTGAATCTTCTATCATTTTGAACGCTATATAAGACGCTCATGTAATCAAGTGACTAGACATGTAACAGCATTCCGACCCTTACCATAAAACAAGCTGTGAGCATATTAGAGAAAATGAGAAGAGATGTTTTATGAGTGGTACTGGTATTGGGAGAGAAATTACATGTGAAATGATGTTAATTAGTCATAGATTATCTCGCAAACCCAGTTTGCTATGATCATTCGTCTAGTGGGCCATAATCATCATACCAAACGCGAGACACGGAAATAGATGCTGAGGATTGATTTCGTTTCACCGACTATTTGCGCACTCTGTAAAGGCATATAGATGAAAACAACCTCTTACAATTCATTGAATTGCGTGAAGAAGAGGCAAGGTGAAGCGAGTTTAACTATCCAGCTCTAGTTTCGGTTTCAAGACTGTATTAATTTGAATCTAACGGTATTGGTGATCGTAGTTTATTGCCCTCCTTGATAAATGTAAGTTTATTGTGTGTGCTCGCTGGTTCGTTAACCCATTTTTTAAAATTATCTCCTCTACACCCCTCCTTATTCTGTTCCCTCGGTACATAAAATACCTCTTCGACAAATGCAAACCTCCACACAAGGCAAGAATAGATTTATCTATAGAATACCCTAACTTGATCGGTAAGTTTAAGCATCATAAACCGCTATTAGTTTCATCCTGAAACTAATTTCTTTCTTTTTCATCATCCTTTAAGCTTCTCTATGGGTTTTAGAATATTTCAACCAGTTCCCTTCCTATATGTATAAATAACTAATCTTCGATTAGGTAAGATCAGATGGTTCCAATAATTCTATCATCCTACAGTATTTGATTCTCTTAAAAACACCAATAATTAGCGAATGAAATAGTCTTGCTGACGTCACTTTAATACTAAATATGTCCGGTATTAGTTGATTGAAAATGAATTTGTTTGTATTATCCAATGGCTCATTAACCTCATGGCATTTGTTTGAAGCTATTGACGCTAGCAACGGTGAGCATTGGCTTTCCGTTGTTCAATCAATATATGTATACATTTTGTGTATGTTGATACTATTGTATAATGCTATAGGAATAGTTATTCATTTTAAGGATATAGACGGCCTCGGACTATTTTATATTCGTTCGGAAAATTGTTTAAAACTCTTGGGTTTATAGCTATAAACAGTTTCAACATAAACATGGACCTTCTATATTAATCATTGCGGCTTTCATCATGAGATTATGTCGACTATGATGCTAAAAAAGATTTGGCTGGGGAACCTGTTTTGCCAAAACAGTTTATGACATTTATGTTGTACTTTGAAATTTCAAAACGTTTTCCAAAATGATCCTTTTTATCGGTCTATTTATATTTTGGTTCCTTAATTAAGTCGACAAACTGGCTCTATCTGCCAAATACAGTGAAGTATTTCTGAGATTCATAAAATGTTAATGCAATAATATGTATAATATGTGTAATGTGTATGTATGTATAATATATACATTACTTACTTACTTACTTACGCCTGTTACTCCCAATGGAGCATAGGCCACCGACCAGCATTCTCCAACCCACTCTGTCCTGGGCCTTCTTTTCTAGTTCCATCCAATTCTTGTTCATTTTTCTCATGTCTATCTCCATTTCTCGGCGTAATGTGTTCTTTGGTCTTCCTCTTTTCCTTTGACCTTCAGGATTCCATGTGAGGGCTTGTCTTGTGACGCAGTTGGGTGCTTTCCTCAATGTGTGTCCTACCCACTTCCAGCGTTTCTTCCTGATTTCTTCCTCCACTGGGATCTGGTTTGTTCTCTCTCACAGTACGTTGTTGCTAATAGTGTCTGGCCAATGGATCCGAAGTATTTTGCGTAGACAACTGATAATAAACACCTAGATTTTCTGGATGATGCCTTTCGTGGTTCTCCAGGTTTCTGCCCGATATAGTAGAACTGTCTTGACATTTGTATTGAAAATCCTGACCTTGGTGTTGGTTGACAGTTGCTTTGAGTTCCAGATGTTCCTCAGTTGTAAATATGCTGTTCTTGCTTTGCCGATCCGCGCTTTCACATCTGCATCAGATCCACCCTGTTCATCAATGATGCTGCCCAAATACGTAAAGGTTTTTACATCTTCCAAATCTTCTCCGTCAATTGTGATTGGATTGGTGCATGTTGTGTTGTATCGGAGAATCCTGCTTTTCCCTTTGTGTATATTGAGACCTACTGCTGTTGAGGCTGCTGCCACACTGTTCGTCTTCTCCTGCATTTGTTGTTGCGTTTGGGATAGAAGGGCCAGATCATCAGCGAAGTCTAGATCATCCAACTGCATCTTAGATGTCCATTGTATCCCGTGTTGCCCTTCATACGTTGACGTCTTCATGATCCAGTCGATCACCAGGAGAAAGAGAAAGGGTGAGAGTAAGCAACCTTGCCTAACACCGGTCTTCACTTAGAACGACTTTGTCAACTGTCCTCCATGCACGATTTTGCAGTGTAATCCATCATATGAACTCTGTATGATATTGACTATCTTCTGAGGTACGCTGTATTGTCGAAGAAGCTTCCATAGTGTTGTTCTGTCCAAGCTGTCAAATGCTTTTTCGTAGTCAATGAACTTGATGTAGAGTGATGAATTCCATTCAATTGATTGTTCCACAATGATCCGTAGAGTTGCGATTTGGTCTGTACACGATCTATCCTTACGGAATCCTGCCTGTTGGTCACGAAGTTGGGCGTCTACGGAGTCCTTCATCCTGTTTAACAATACCCTGTTGAAGACTTTTCCCGGTATTGAGAGAAGAGTGATGCCCCTGTAGTTATCACACTTGCTGAGATCGCCTTTCTTTGGTATTTTGATCAGAAGTCCTTTTCAGTCTTTTGGTACTTGTTCCTCATCCCCAATCTTATTGAAGAGAATGTGGAGTATCCTTGCAGTTGCCGCTACGTCTGCTTTTAGTGCCTCTGCTGGGATGTTGTCCTGTCCTGCTGCTTTGTCACTCTTGATTTGTCTGATGACCATGCTGATTTCTTCAATTGTTGGTGGGCCAACATCGATAGGGAGGTTCATGGGTGCTGCTTCGATGTTAAGTGGGTTCAGTGGAGCTGGTCGATTCAAGAGTTCTTTAAAGTGTTCTATCCACCTGTTTCTTTGCTCTTCAATGTTGATGATTACCTCACCTTCCTTGCTTTTGACTGGTCGTTCTGGTTTGCGGCGATTTCCAGAGAGTTTCTTTGTCGTGTCATACAATTGTCTCATGTTTCCTTCTCTTGCAGCCTTTTCCGCCGTCATTGCTAAATCTTCCACATATTTACGTTTGTCGGTTCTGATGCTCCTCTTCACTTGTTTGTTTACTTCTGTGTATTCAATATATATATATACATAACAATCCAAAAAATGCAAACTGACAAATAACGTAATGGAAAAGCTGACTCAGTGTCTTTCAGTGCAAACAGATGATTTTACATAACCATGTACTAATATCGAGTGCAGGTTTACATAATCGAAACCTGCATATCTCTAGTTCGTCACAGTATATATTCCTGGTCGCTAGTGCATTGAAAAAGAATCGTTGTGTTTTTCGATTGTGTGATGTGGCATTTTTTGTTGGGGCAAATTACGTTCCTATTGCTACTGCCACCAACTGGATCTTTAAACGAAAAGCATTGTTGAAGCAGCAGTGCAGGACAATTAGTCGAGTATTGTAGAATTTGAGGTGACGTTTTCCTCTGAAATCTCCTTTCTTTTATATCTAAACTAGTTTCTTATGAACAAAATTGGAGTTGAACACTATATTTTTTGTTTATTGATTTGCTTTTTCAGTGAATAGCACTACTACGATTAATATGTGATGCGTCTTCTGAGTCGTTTTCCATTGTATTCGTTGTTTTTTCCTATATGCGGTGAAACATGGGATGATATTTCTATGCACTTCAAAATTACTTGTTTCATGAAACAGCTGCTGGTGTAGTGTGACTTGACATTAATCTAGGGATGTAAGTAGTGTTAAAGCTTTGGGTAGCTACTCATTTGGAAATTTAAAAAATATTGCTTACAAATAAAGGAAAAGAAGAATGAAAAACCAGTCTCAAGTTCGCCATCGTAGCGGATCAAGCGAATGTTATCGTGGTATTGATTGGATTTCTCTTAATGCCATCCGACAAGATTTATTGATGGTAATTTTAGGATTAAACCACAACAGTATATTTCAATCTTATTCCTGAAAGTTAATCTACAGGATATTGTTTTTACAAGCGTAGGAGTCATCACTTGAAGAGTTATTTAATTTTTCCTTATATTCACCTTTATGCCATGATATATTTGATGAATTAAGTTTTGGAGCTCATATAATATTGGTTAGTTTTCGTGCTTTACCTGATAATGTTGATGTTTGTTTTGTAAAAGGGAAAATAAAAATAATAGAACATAGACAACAGATAGATAATATTTGCATGGTTTTTTGGAGATAATGCAAGACTACATTTATACCAATTATAATAAAAATAGACTTAGATTTATGTAGAGTTTTGATGTGCCTCGAATGTCAACCAAGATGTGAGCAGTCATTTGCAAGAAGTGTTTTATAATTAAATAAAATTTTCAATGAACATGTTTATTTGTAAACTTTGATGGAAAAATAAGTTATCGATCAAAATACATTAGCCTGCCATGATGACACAGTATTTTTGCACGCTGGTTACAGTATTAAAGACACAGAAATACGGTTGGCTTAGTTTGATTTGACTTAAGCTTAATTTGATATAACCTGTCACCCTGGTAAGGTCGAAGCAAATCAGTACAATAAAGCTTACAGAACGGAATGAATAACTTTTTTTATATCTTTACGCTAACCGAACCGCCGCTGACAGATGCTTTGAAATGAATATCGAGAAAGTTGTACATTTTTCACAGAATTTCTCATGTAACAGTTGATAAAAAAGGTTTGTATAAACTTTTAAAACGTGTCTTATTGGTGTATATGCATCAGGACTCAGTAGCTAAATGGATAACACGGCAAAATATGAAGCTAACGGTACTGGGTCCGAGTCATTAGCTCTGAGATGCAGATGCATCCAGCTGACGAGTCCCAAGAAAGATAAAATGCGCGTCCTGGATCCCACTGTCAACCACCATCAATATTTGCTTGTATTGCTATTTTCTTTAACGAGTATTTGGCAAATTTGTGATTTCTTCTAGCCCACAAAGATAGGTTTTCCTAATGTTATTGTTAAACTTAGCTGCTGCTTGGAAAGAAAAGCCAATAAAAAACAATATATTATAAAATGTATATAACTCACTCTACTATTCTTTGTTATGAAAGTTTTGAGTATAAACCGCAATAAACCTATGGAACTTTCAAACTCTCTACAAGTTTATAAACTTGAAGCACCGGTATTATAATTCCTGTCTAATTTTGTTGTTTAGGTTGTTAATTCACAACACTAATTGTTTTCGATTTACCTATTGGGTAGATAGTATTTGGACCATACAGTGAAATTCAAGCAAGCAAGTCAAGGCTGTTGACAAAGTTCTGGTTTTTTGCTTACTTAGATATCTGAGTCATAAGTCTTGTATGTAGGCTCATCGTATTTCAAAGACACACCAGCTGGATCCTGTTGGAAAAAAGTGGTAGGAGAGTAGGCTACCATATTACACTAATGCATGAAGTATGCTGAGTATTAGTTGTTTGACGTTTTGCTATAGTACTTAAAGCTATATTAATCCGTGGTTCTGTAAATTAACGACCGGTCTAAGCGTGGTCATGCTTTATCTCTAGGATCCTCATTCTACAAAAGCTAACATTAAATATTTTGATAATATGCGTGAACGCTTAAATCTGTTAATGTTTACGCAATGTAAAATAACAACGTTTCGCTGCTCTTCATTTGTGACACTGCTACACAATAAGTTTGGCGTAAAGTATGTTTACTCCTTGTCGATAAAGGAAAAGAAATAATAGACCTTTTGTGCGCTATTTTCTGGAAACTAACTCAACTTTACCATATTTGTTGTTTGCTATTCACCATATAACAATCAATATACTGTTTATGCTTTTTATGGCGTCCTAGATTGTCATTTCTTTAAAATTACTTAATTTTGAGCAAGAGGATATTTATTGTCTTATTGTTCATTAATTTTATGTTAGTTTACAAAGTTCCTGAATGAGTGATTTAGAATCCTTTGATGAAGATAGCTTAATTGAGAATAAAATTGATCATGAAACTAGATATGGAGAAAAAACACAGAACAAAAATGTCAACTGTATAATGAATAATGATATCGTCAACAATAATCATGATATCAATGGCGACAATATAATTTACTACAATCATGTTGAAAATGAAGCAGTTGATGTACCGATAAAAGAATGTAAATCGTCTGATTTAAACCCATCAGTTATTCATAATTATGAAAAATTTGAAGAATCTTTAACATCTGAGTCAGTTCCACCATTAAATTTGCTCTCTGAAGAGAGCAGTATTATTGAAGCTACTGAATCATGTAAAAAAGCATTTAATATTGACTTGAGAGCTGAAAGTATGACATCTGTAAGTATTACGTATCAGCCATTTTATTCACAATATTAATGATTTTTACAATGGATTTTTACCATACAAGCATGTATGAACATTTTTATAAATCAACTTATTTGAAATAATTTCTGGTGATAGGCTGGGTTTTATATAAAGGATGAGTTACTTAAGGATCCAATTTTCGTACCCCACTGTATCTAAAGTTTTCTTCTAGTTGGCCATTTCATTAGCATTCAAGTAGGATTACCATTCAAATAGTTTTAATAGAATGACTCCATGCTATTCAAATTTACAATGCAATAAAAACTGTGATATGGCTAGTGAATTTCTGGCGAGTTTGAGTTTCTGGAAACGTTTGATAATGTTTCTTGATCTAATGTTCATTCATTCACCTTTTGTTGAAATCGGTAAATTTTACTTTCAGTTTGTGAGGGATTTTCGACTTACTATCGTTGTTTACAGTGTGTTCAAATAATGTACAATGATGATAAAAATATCTTAAAGTAAACCTTTCTTTACTTAGGTAAAAGTGTTTGGTAATTAGTCTGATGAAAAAGTTGAACAGGTGAATCTCTTGAGAATTTTACTGATTATTCGTATGTATATACAAACTTAAAAATCACAGTAAGAGCAAGGCAATTTCAATAATATTTTTCATCGTTTTCAGTTCAACAATTTACTTTAATTCATCTTTTTTCCATATTGAACATGTTCTTATGAGATCACTTTGTTGAGCTCTTTCGCTAACAAATACATTACTCTCAACAATTTATTTCATTTTACAATCTTTTATAGTTTGATCGTTCTGTTATAAATATTTAAAAGATAGATTACTGAATTATTTTAGGGTCATTTACTTCGCTGTGTTTTCAATCGAGCGATTGGCTGAAAATTTCTCTGATAATATATCGAAGAGCAGTTTGAATAGATATAAGCAAACATTACAACTACTCTAATGTTCAGTAATTAGGATAAAAACAGAATTTTAGTTTTGTTAGTTAATTATTAATTCTAACTCATAAAGTGGGTGTGTACCATTTAAATTTAAACACTGGAAGTTAAACAAAATGCTTGACCTTAGGTACCGACTAGTTTAATTCTCAACATTAAAAATGCCAAGTTACAGGTATTATCTTAATAAACTAAGACAAATGATGTTAAGCAAAAACAATATGGTTCTCATTTCTCTTCATCATTTCAACTGTTGCGTGTAAATAAGGGTTAGTCAATATTATAATGAATTCATTTTTCATTTATTAGAGTTTCTCATCAGTTGCATGCAACCTGAACAAAGGATTACATAAATATTGTTTAAAAATAAACATTATATTATGATGTATAGTTTATGACCTCATAACATAACAATAAGTTGTATTTAATATAAGAGGAAATAAAAGTAATCAGAGCAATCAGGTAAGATGTATTTGGGAATGAAAGATAAAGCAAATTGTTGGAGACTCTACTATTCTAGCGCTTGGGTCAATCTGCTCATAAAACACATCTGATTAAACCCTGTTAATCAGCTAATTAAAACGAATTCAAATAAATTACTGAAGGTCAGACTTATAAAGCAATCAACTGGGATTAAAACCTTTGGTCACATTCACTGTCTTAAGGTGATAAAAACAAACTGAGGACTAGGCGATGATGTTATGGTTCATAACAATAATGATAATTTCCAATTGAACCAAGCATTTCGGAGAATATATTATTAAATAATTTTATTTACATTGTACAGTGAAATTTATTTTAAAATGATTTTAACTTTGAAAGTCTATCGGTTTCGAACTACTGATTATTTCTCGACATTTTTATAGAATTCATCAGAAAATTCTCTTGAAGAGTCACGAGGTGAAATTATTCCAACTCAATGGAATCAATGTAGTCAAAAGTTAAAGAAATTACAGTTGGATAAAATTAATCCTAATAGATCTACCAAGAGTACTATGTGTGGATCGAATAATAACTATCAGTATGGTGAACCCATCATCCTTGGTGAAGGTAAATCTCTCACTCATGCCCTATATATATATATATATATATATATATATATATATATATATATATATACATATACTATTAAACCAAGTATTATACAAAAATGTAGTTGTCAGTGCTATGTTACAAGTCTAGGTTTTTATTAACATTAAACGAGTTCTTTTCTACTAGATTAAATTCATTTCTTTCGTAAGTTATCTTCAAATTATCTAAAGCCCAAAGTAACAATATATATCAATGAGCTTGTGTATATTTTGATTTTGAAAGCTCTTGAGCTAAATCCTGTCAGAGAATGGAGAGTCTTATTGTTTTGTCTCTCTGATGGTTTTAAGTTTTTTTAGATATGAGCAAGATATATGGTTTGAAAATTTAGATTCTTGTGCTTAGTAACATTTTCTAGTTGGAAAATAAGTTTTTAACAATTAACAATGTCTTTGGTATGAAGATTACTGAATCTCTTTAATTTTATTTTAAAAAATAACTTTAGTCAGATAATCATTGAAATCTAAGATGGATTGAATAGATGTTTCATCCTAGTACAGGCCTCCTAAGTAGTGAGAATCTACTTCAGCATCATTGATAATTTCCTATATATAAAGGTTTTGATTTTACTAGTGACTAATATTAAGAAGTGATTCTTGGAGTTCTAGTGAAAACTAGTGACCATTGGAGTTTGGTTATCTTGGGTGTGACACAACTACCGTGTGACAATGGATGGTGATTGTCTAGAAATTTTCCGAAATTAGAAATGTGCACCATTGAATAGAAATTCAGTTATTTGAAAGTTAAATATTGACCACAAGTTCGGAGGTTTCCGGATTCAATACCAAGTGAAATCATGGAAAGTAGAATGCTGTGGATTTTTATATTAGAGTGAAAAGGCTTTCTGGTTCCCCTCAAACTTTAATGATTATCTAACCAAAGTGACAATGGGTTGTAAGATTTGAGAACCAATGGTATATCAATGTAGAGACGTCACTTTGTTAAGGTAACAGTATGCTGCCACGGCATCAGAGTAAATAGTTTTTCTGGTTAACCATTAGGAATTGTCAATAAAGGATAAAGAACTTCAGCACTTTGGTTGCGACTTCTTGGGATGCTCAGATTCACTTATTCGGTGATGGAGATAAGTACTTGTACCACACAAAATCGACATTTTTAATTTCAACATTAAGTTAACATGTGTGGTGCATGTTAACCAGTTGCATCCAATAGTAAGATCAACAATATTTTACGTGATTGGATTGCGAGATCGTAGTCGATTGTGGTCATTGGATATTAAGGAAGTTAGTGGAAGTTTCCGATGAATGACGACGGACCAACGTTACATAAACAGAGAAGAGTTAGTAAAATGGTACCAGAAAGGGCATCTGGTTCAATTAGTGATAGTGTAGAATAGAAATGAAGCAACTCCTGAAGATCGTGTTGTTAAACCACTATTCGAATTTGGCATTAAATTCTCATCTGCAACATTTTACGGTACTGAAAGCCTTGACAAAATCGAAACAATAATATCAATTTTTCCCATTTATTGTGTAAAAAGGTGATTTAGGATTAATTTTCAGTGAGATTTATGGTTAATACATTGTAAGAATGTGAAATTTAGTTTATGAAGTTAATGTTTATTATTAGTTCTTAAATGAACGAGATTATTCTAAGGCGAGATACTTTTAACTCTGAAAAGTAAACGATTTAAGTAAATTTCGGACTGCAAAAATGTAGTCATTTTTTAATTATGAGGACGTTTCATTGTTAAACAGAAGCTATTCATGTTACACCTTTGTTGGGTCGGCTTCCAGAGAACTTCAACGGAGCCTCCAGAGGCCCAAAAGGAGCCGAAGAGTCCTAGCCAATCAGAGTGTGATGGAACGTTCCAGAATTCCAACGTGGCGTGCTACTATTGGTCGGTAGCATAATGTGTTGTTATCGGATTGGCTGTAAATTGATGTTGATTTAACAGACGCCAAAATCTATAAATACCCATGATTTTCTGTACAAAAATGAACCTTGGAATAAAGTGCTTTCTCTCGTTCTTGTGTCTTCTCTCTGGAGTTCAAGTCGCTGTGTAGTTCTAGACTGCGGGTTACCGAAATAGCTTAGCAATCGTATATAGCGTTCAACCTACACGACTTATCAGTGGCGACGGGGATGAAAACTTCAATGAATATTTCCTTGAAGCAATTAGAAGCTTATATGGTGCGTCAAGAAAAGAGGTTTGAAGAGTCCCATATTAGAATCATGGAAACCCTGATGCAGAAATTCTGCCTCTCCGAGAAAAACCCTGCTTCTAGTGAATCTCAAGTATCACATACTGATTCAGTCATTAACGCCATCCATGAATTTAATTTTGATGGTGTAGCAGGTGTAACTTTCGAGTCGTGGTTTAAGAAGTATGAAGATTTGTTTTATATTGATCTTTGCAAACTGGATGATGCTTCAAAAGTCAGAATACTTCTTAGAAAACTTGGTACTATGGAACATGAACGCTATAGCAATTTCATTCTTCCGAAGAACCCACGAGATTTTAGTTTTGATGATACAGTCAAAACCCTATCCCAAATATTCGGAGAACAATCATCTCTATTTAATATCCGTTACCAATGCTTAAAGTTAACAAAAGAACCAGGAGATGATTGGGTGAAGCACGCAGGAACTGTGAACCGAGAATGTGAGAGGTTTAGATTGTCGTCCATGTCTGAAGATCAGTTTAAATGCTTAGTGTTTATCTGCAGCCTGCGTTCACCCGAAGATGCCGATATCCGAACCAGACTCCTAAGCAAACTCGAACACTGCCCTAATATGACCCTGCAAGAAGTGACTACTGAGTGCCAAAGGTTAGTAAACTTAAAGCATGATACCTCAATGGTCGAAAACGGTAACTCTTTCCGTAACGTCAATGCAGTTAAGAGAAAAGTCTTTCAAGGTTCCAGTACCAATAATTTCCAAAATAACAGCGACAAACCACCATCTCCATGCTGGGCATGTGGAGGTTGGCACTATAAGAGTTTTTGCCCATATAAAGAACATCGTTGCAGCAAATGTCATCGGAAGGGGCATAAAGAAAACTTCTGCAGGAGAAGAGACTATAGAAAACGTCCCGTGAAATCTTACTCAAAGAAACACAGATATAGTGCTCCAACCAACAAGATATTGGTATCACATAACAGAGCACGAAGTTGCCACCAAAGAAAGTATGTGACCTTGAATATTAATAAACACCGTGCCCGTCTTCAGCTGGACACAGCTTCTGATATTACTTTAATCAGCCCAGAAACGTGGAAGAACATTGGGAGACCCACAGTTTTCCCAACAACACAGCTGGCACACAGTGCATCTGGGGGGAAGCTGAATATTGTTGGAGAAATACCATGCACTGTTTCTAAAGGTACGGTAACAAGAAATGTAACATTGTATCTTACTAAGAAGCCAGCACTAGACTTAATGGGGTTGGACCTTATAGAAACACTTAAACTAGCAGATCATTCTATCAACAGTATCTGCAGACGAGTAAGTACAGACAACATCCCAGAATGGAATCAGAAAAACGCCATGCTACAAAGACATCAAAACGTGTTTAGAGAAGGATTGGGAGAATGTACGAAAGCCAAAGCACTGTTAACTCTAAAACCTGAAGTTGCTCCCGTTTTTCGACCTAAAAGACCCGTACCCTATGCTGCTCTACCAGTGGTTGAACAAGAACTAGAACGACTTCAGAAATTAGGTGTCATTGAACCAGTGAATTTCTCAGAATGGGCCGCACCGATAGTAGTAGTAAAGAAGACTAATGGTAGCGTCCGTTTATGTGCCGATTACTCAACCGGGTTGAATGAAGCCTTAGAAACTCATCAGTATCCATTACCCTTACCTGAAGATCTTTTTGCTAAACTGAACGGAGGTAAGCTTTTTGCAAAGTTGGATTTATCAGAAGCTTATTTACAAATCCCTGTTGCTGACGAGTCTAAAAACCTGCTTACCATAAACACACACAAGGGTCTATTCCGGTATAATCGATTACCCTTTGGAGTCAAGACGGCCCCATCCATATTTCAGCAAATAATGGATACTATGCTACAAGATGTTTCAGGTGCTGCAGCTTACTTAGATGATATAATAATCATGGGAGTAGATAGATTAGACTTAGAAAAGAAGCTTGACCACGTGCTGACACGAATAGCCGAATATGGACTGCGACTTCGTCCAGAAAAATGTGACTTCTGTATGCAAAAAGTACGCTACCTTGGGTTTATAATCGATAAAGATGGAAGAAGACCAGATCCGGAGAATACTCAGGCAGTGAAAACTATGCCCAGACCGACGGATGTCCCCACACTACGATCCTTCTTGGGACTAGTTAGCCATTATGGAGCTTTTATTCCAAATCTTCATCAATTACGTGCCCCCCTGAATAACCTTCTGGTGAAGAATGTAAAATGGAGTTGGTCTGCAACTTGCCAAGCCGCTTTCGATGAAATCAAGAAAGTACTAGTCTCGGATCTGCTGCTCACCCATTACGATCCATCCTTACCCATTGTAGTGGCATCAGACGCATCAAACTACGGCATAGGAGCAGTTATTTCTCACATCATGCCAGATGGATCCGAGAAAGCGATATCACATGCGGCTAGATCGTTAACGTCAGCAGAACGTAACTATAGTCAGATCGAGAAGGAAGCATTGTCGATTATCTTCGCTGTCAAGAAATTTCACAAGATGATATTTGGACGTCAGTTCACCCTATTAACTGACCATAAACCATTACTAGCCATCTTTGGGTCGAAGAAAGGTATACCTGTATACACCGCAAACAGACTGCAACGATGGGCAATCACACTTCTGGGTTATGACTTCAAGATCAAGTACCAGCCCACTACTGACTTTGGACAAGCTGACGCTTTATCTAGACTGATTGGTTCACAAGTAAAACAGAAAGAAGACACTTTGGTGGCAGCAATCGAGACTGAAACAGAAGTACATCGAGTTTTGGAAGACGCAGTTGATGGTTTACCGGTTACTTTCAAGGCCATTAAAGAAGCCACGAAAAATGACAAGACTTTAAGAGAGGTTAGTGGTTATCTTCTCAACAAGTGGCCGAACCGTCGTTTTCAAGGAGAAATGCTACAATATTTTCGCCGACGGGACTCACTTATGATGGTCGACTCATGTATTATGTTTGGCGACAGAATTATTGTTCCAGAAGTATTACGCTACAAGGTTCTGAAACAATTCCACAGCGGTCATCCTGGCATCAATAAGATGAAAGCATTGGCTCGAAGCTACGCATACTGGCCTACGATGGATCAAGATATCGAAAACAGATGCCGCAATTGTTCATCGTGCCTACAAGCAGCCAAAAGTCCAAGCAAGTGTGAACCGCAACAATGGGAAAAGCCGAATAGTCCCTGGGAGAGGCTGCATGCAGACTTCGCCGGTCCAATACGAGGAAGAATGTATCTAATCATAGTAGACGCGTTCACAAAATGGCCACAAATCTACGCCATGGTGAATTGCACAGCCGGTGAAACAATCAGCAAATTATCCGACCTGTTTAGCTGTTTTGGAGTTCCGCAGACGTTAGTGACCGATAACGGTTCACAATTCACTGCAGAATCATTCAAGCACTTCTGCAACGTTAATGGCATTGTGCACATACGATCTCCCCCGTATCACCCTCAATCGAATGGCCAGGCAGAGCGCTTCGTGGATACATTGAAGAGAGCACTTCTGAAAGGGGGAGGAGAAGGGACAACCGGGCAGGTGATCGCAAAATTTTTAACATCCTACAGATCCACTCCGAACCCGAATGTTCCAGACGGCAAATCTCCCGCGGAAGCCATGTTTGGGAGGCGCATTCGAACCATCTTCGATGCCATGTTGCCATCCAAATTAGTGGATGAGCGCAGTCACGGTCCAAGTATCCGAAACTTCAGTGTTGGTGACAAAGTTTACATCAAGTCCTACATCGGGAAGAACCGATGGGAGCCGGGCGAAGTAGTGAAAAAACTGGGAAGAGTACTGTACAGAGTTCGAGGAGCTTTTGGGACATGTATACGTCATACAAATCAAATCCTTAAGGATAAAAGAACGGTGCAGACTCGAAGTAACCGGCCGATTTTCCCGTTAGATTCAATCTTAGACGCACCAACGCCACAAACGCCCAGGAACAGTGAAAAGAAGCCTTGGACAAGGGAAACGACAAGAATAATGGGGCGCCGTCGCTGTCCAGTCGTCAAAATACAATTAGATCCCAGAAAGAAATCTTATTCGGGGGAGGTGTTGGGTCGGCTTCCAGAGAACTTCAACGGAGCCTCCAGAGGCCCAAAAGGAGCCGAAGAGTCCTAGCCAATCAGAGTGTGATGGAACGTTCCAGAATTCCAACGTGGCGTGCTACTATTGGTCGGTAGCATAATGTGTTGTTATCGGATTGGCTGTAAATTGATGTTGATTTAACAGACGCCAAAATCTATAAATACCCATGATTTTCTGTACAAAAATGAACCTTGGAATAAAGTGCTTTCTCTCGTTCTTGTGTCTTCTCTCTGGAGTTCAAGTCGCTGTGTAGTTCTAGACTGCGGGTTACCGAAATAGCTTAGCAATCGTATATAGCGTTCAACCTACACGACTTATCAACCTTCTGCTCAGTTAAATTCATTTTCATGATTTATTATTGTCTAGTAGGCCCTATTTCTTTTGAATATATTATTCTTTATAACTATTTTGATCAATTGTCATACCAACTTCATCCAGTACTCTAACTCTGTGGTTAGTCATTCAGTGGTTCTAACCTACGTAAACAATATGTTGGAGATACCTGTGATCGTTCTCAACCAACTACACATGTTTTATGCCTTTAAAGTAACATAAACCCTACTGGTACACAATATGCATTCCTTCTTAGAAACAAAATGATAAATCTAATTTTTGCCACAATCGATTCAGCCAAAACAAATTTAGACTACATTCTCTCTACGTGCAAAGGTTTTGTCAACCACCAACCCAGAAATGGTTACTGAGATGTAAACAATTAAATTGATGAATGCTTTCAATTACCTTAGTTCTCATAGTCAGAATGTTTATTAGCCCTTCTTGATCATGAAACAGCAGTTTGCATTCAGAGAGAAAAAATACTGATTAAATACTCCTGTAATGCTATTCAAGATTTCGAAATGATTCTCACCAAACAAGACAACATCACAAAAATATGAAGATATTGAAACAACCAACGGGACTTATTATTTCCATCCATAATATATCTATAGTTTTGTACACTCTAATCCACATCTTACGTATATTTACAAAAACCTGACTTTTCAGTTAATATGCTCAAAATATACTTCTTTCATATGTAGTGAAGTAATTTTGTTTTGTGTTTCGTAAACATTCATTTAGATATTATTGGCCATGAACTAGTTGTTAAAAATAAGCTGAAAACCAAACTGAATTTTATTGCTTCCAACAAAATGAACATTCATCAAGGAGGTGTTAAAAGTTGTCCCGTAACATACGGTCAACTTCATAAGGTGAAATCACAATATAATTCTGGGTAGGATAATTTTATATACTAAAGTTTTTTGTTATTGTCAAAAAATAATATAATGTGTTAATGAATATCTGCACTGTTTGTATAGCTTAAAATGTCGGAATAAGAGATCAATGATCTCTATTGTTAACAATGAAAGCGATGTGTGCCATGAAGAATTGAGATTCTTCCATATTAGTAGTAACGATCTCCAGGTTGTCCGTTACTTATTTATAAATACTTATTTATTCAACCTAATGCACCTTAGTCGATAGATTTCAATCATTATGAAAGACTGGACAGCATGATGTTGGTTTACACTTTGGTCAGGCACTGTAAACATCTTTGATCTGGATGAGTTTTTCATGGTTTGAACGATTCAATGATGAGGTCTTTGACCGTGACATTGGATGGTACAATGTCGAGTCTCACTAGAAGCACCATTTTTTTCAGGACTTATGATATACTTTCACGGAAGGTATCAGTAACCACGAAACCTTGATGGAAAGCTCCCTAACAACTTTCTCTAATCGTCTAATAAATATATGTGTATTTTGAAAAGTGAATCTTGTATATATCACATTTTCAACATTTGACTTTGTGACATTCGAGTTCAGATTTCTTAGACATACTAAAAATTGTTCACTGAAAAATTCATCTGAATCGTTTGAATACTATGCTTTTTACTAGTAAAGACTTAAATGACTGATTTGTCAATGAGAATCTATTAGTAATTTCATTATTTGGATTGTTTCAATTTTCCAATAATGTGTACCTCAACAAGATTTTCATAAGATTATGATGAATACTTGTAAGCTGATAATATTACAAATATTATTTACTTATCTTGCATTCTATTCGAAATGTGTATGAAGAAATGGAAAAACCTGAGACTGCTTATGTTTAATTAAATAAACAATATTTGTAATTACTCAATATTTATTCGAGGTTATCAAAGTCAACTTCATCAGTTATGACTAAAGCACCTAATTCTACTATCGGCACTTATATACATCGTGGATATGAACGTAATAGTCATTAATATTGGTGAGACATTATGGTATTTCGACATAGTTGCGTTTTGTGGAGATATAAAAATGTTGGTTAATTATTTTGGTAATTGTACAATAGTATGTGAAGACTGACATGGTGAAAAGTATTATCACATTAATTATTGGGATGAGAGTTTAGTATTAATACCTTCATTCCATTAAATCAATCATTCAACTTTCATTTTCTGATCACCCTATTTCAGATAGAGATTATGTTCCATGATGTAAACAGTCAGGTGGCGTTAACGTCTGTCATATTCAGGTAGCCTCTGTTATGTACATGTCCCCTCTGTTGTATTAGCCGTCGTACTGTTGTTACCCGGAAAAGAGGAGCAACTGCAATTCTCACGACACTAATTGAAAACACAATGACTGGTTTAATAACAATTTATTGGCTTTCCAAAACAAGTCATCTATAAACGTCATCATTAAACTAAATATAATCATTTATATATGGATTTTTCACATATTTGACGATTAGTTAAGAAACATAATATAAATGGAAAGATATACAGTATTACTATTAAAAAATGCGATGTTCGCACAGAATATTGCAAACAATATAGATGTCACTGTGCAAAAGTCCACACCCTTCATACCGAACGAAATTTACACTTCACTGGTACGAACATACTGAATTGAAATAATGTTATATTGAAAAACATAAAACCAGTATTGCACTGACTAAGATGTTACACTGTGAATAAAATCAATCTTAAAATGTCACATTAGAAGCACAGTTAATTTTACAACGAGTAAGGGGAAACATGAACTTGTCTTCTTCTCCTGACTTATCAATATTGTACAATATAGGCTAGACACAACTTTCTTTCTGGATATTGAATGAACTATTAAATTATTTATCTAATTATGTAATGCTAAATAATTTGATTTATTAATAATGAACCTTAATAAATAGTTTAACTCAATCTTTTTATTTCAATATCATACAAAAATGAATAGATCAGCAAAATGTTTAACAAATAATCAATTTCTACTTAGTCCAAATTTGAAAATTACCAAACGTCATAGAGAATATTTTCAGTCGGATCCTGTTTTATGCTCTAATAGACAATTAATAAATAATAAAGAAAACTATATAAATGAGTCACAATGGAATGGGAATAATCTGTCACAATTAACATCATCACCATCAATATTATCATCACCAACATCTTATAAACAAATAACACCTAAAATAAATCAACCACTTTTTGTAAGTAATTATTTGTTATTTCTATTTATATAAGTTAAGTGTATGTTTTGCTTATATTTGATCATTTAAAAGAAATGTTTAAGATCTAATAAAATATGTTTTCTTTTTCCAAAGAACTACTATTAGTTTAATTGTTTTGTTCAGATTTCATGATTGATACATCAAAATGAAAGAATTGAAAGACAATCTTTATTTGTTCATGTTATGGCTCAAGAGAGACAGCCGATTATAAGACAGTGACTTATCGATCGGATCAAGGATTCAGAATCTCGATAGGACTATTCTGGTCCGTTGTCCCCAACTCTGCTAACTCGATCAAGAAGTCTGGGTAAGGTGTAGAAAGTGTATTCTACAGACAAACAGCAGATAACAAGTCAGGCAGGCAGATCAGATCAAGCATACAAGTCAAGCGTATTTATACAATTATTTACAATCGATAGAAAATTTTTAAACATTAATCAATGAGTTCATTAATTGACCTATTTGCGCATTTAATCGATAGTTCATCAATTGACCCCAATAAAAATATCTAACATTTGATCGATAAGATAAAATTTAAAATATGAGTTTGGGGATCTATCGTCCCCAACACTCCTCCCCTTTTTAGAAGATCCGGAGTTGATATCCGGATTTTAAGTTTTCCAGGTCCATCCTCCCCCACGAAACAGTGTTGGATCCTCATGTGCCCACGTTATAATTAACTTGAATTTATTTAAGACATATTTATCGCACTGAACAGAGAATTGACTGAAAGTGATTAAGTCTTGAGACTGGACAACACTTGATATGAGGTGTTCGAAGTTTAATTCTTCTGACATATTGTGACCAAATTTATTTGGAATCTTATTTGTAGATAATGGATCATCAAGGTAATTAGCATCTATCAAAATTGTATTAAGTTTTTGATCATCATTTGATGCATCTGACATATTTTCTGGTAAAAGAGAATCTTGATAATAAGATTTGTCAAAAACATCTGTCGCAGACTGATGAGAACCATTTGAAGCAGTTGTATTCAGTGTACTGCTCGATTTGTTTTCTGTTTCATGGGTGGTTATTGCGACAATTCTATGAGCATTTACCAGGGAGTGTGTTTGTGAGCTGGATAAGTCACCGTCTGCACATGCTGTTTTGGGGATAATGGAGTTTGAGTCCATTACCGGGCATGTTTCTGGAATGGAGAGGACTGGACCACTGGGCGAATCTTGAGTGACTGTTGTACCGTTTGAAATACGGTTTATCGGGGGTTCATTGGGGCTGCAATCATTTTCCAACTCTGAGTGCAGTTGAGAGATCAATCCATCCACTTCCGTTGCATCTCCAAAGCATGAGTGATTTAACAGCTGCGTGCGTAACTTGACTAAAAACTCCAACTGTCTTTCAAATAGCAGCTGTACTCGATCGGAAGGGAGAGTCATTTTTTTTTATTCAGCACCGGTAATGCAAATTACAGTTTGATTAATGACCAATGTTGCTCAAGGACACTGATGACAAATCTGGATGCTGAAGGCTGACTTTGGATTGTTCTTTTTTTTACCCCGTCGCCAATTGTTATGGCTCAAGAGAGACAGCCGATTATAAGACAGTGACTTATCGATCGGATCAAGGATTCAGAATCTCGATAGGACTATTCTGGTCCGTTGTCCCCAACTCTGCTAACTCGATCAAGAAGTCTGGGTAAGGTGTAGAAAGTGTATTCTACAGACAAACAGCAGATAACAAGTCAGGCAGGCAGATCAGATCAAGCATACAAGTCAAGCGTATTTATACAATTATTTACAATCGATAGAAAATTTTTAAACATTAATCAATGAGTTCATTAATTGACCTATTTGCGCATTTAATCGATAGTTCATCAATTGACCCCAATAAAAATATCTAACATTTGATCGATAAGATAAAATTTAAAATATGAGTTTGGGGATCTATCGTCCTCAACAGTTCACCACATTGATGAATTGAAAACCGGGAGAAGAGTTGATGAATGTTGAAAATGTCTACGAGACAACTGCTACCTACAAAAAAGTATTGACAAATATAAAAAACCTAAAAATACCAGATAAAAGAGACTACAATGAATAAAAAACAATAAATAAATAAATAAATATGTAAATCAACTTCAAAGGTGATTACATCGCAAGGATAATCAGTAGGAGGCTTAACAATGCAACGGTTAGAACTTACCTAGAAGCCAAATTATTAATTATGTATAAAACAACATGTTCGATAACCCAATCAAAAGTGGACAAGAACCCTTTTCGTTTTACCACCAACTGTGTTTATAAATTCACGTGTACCTGCCAATACAGCTACATTGGCCGAACAGAAACGAGAGCATATCTTCGATATTTTGAGCATGTTCCAAAAAACCTTTAAACAAAAGAAAGAATAACTATAAACAGTGCCATTATCAAACATCTCTTGAGTAAAGGACATCAGGTTGATACCTTGCAATCTTTCAAGGTGATTATTAAACAACTAAACTTCAGTCTTCTGAAGCCGTTGCTATCAGGCGTCGGTGACCTGATTTATATGTTCAAAAGGAGATAGTTATTAATCATTCTTTGCCTTGATGACAAATATTCCTTTATTGCATCTTGGAACATTTTTTTGAACCTCTTTCCTGAATTTATTACACCATTGAGTTCTTTATTTCGACCATCTTCCAGATTATTAATCTTATTTTACTATCTGAGGTTTGCTCATTTTATTCCTATCAGCGTTTAATCATTATGTAATCACTTGCTTCTGGCCGTTTGAACCGTCGTCACAATTAGTGTAGTAGAATTTTCTTTTACATAAGGTATATATTTACAATATTCAGTCTATTGAATTTATTTACATAGTTGCTATACCATACTAATGTGTCTTCAACATAACTTTCAACTTAACTCCTTCATATAAGTAATTTAAACCTGTTTTTAAATATCACAGGTTGTAAGCAGCTAACGAGACCGGAAAGAAATAAAATGCTATTCTGCTAGAATCTTTATTCTTGCTCTTTTCAAAATTCAGTTTAATGTTACATGATCAAGCAAAGGAATATATTTTAAATTGAACTAGTTAATTTCCCTGTTCTTATAGCAATTATGATTTTCTTCAGCTACTATACGATATTTTTTGGTTTCATATTTTGTTTACGAATATCAAACTACATTTCTTATGTCGCAATATTTTTCATTAATATATTTCATCTGTATTGAAATCATGATGATTTTAATTATTAGAGGTCAGGTTTATATTTGTTTATTGAATTTTCGTTAACAATATTTATCCAGCCAGCTTGGTCTGGATATTCAAATAAATTATACACATTACGCAATACAAAAAACAGTCCTGTAAGAGAAAATGACGCAGTAAATCAACCTATTGAATCTTACTGGGAAATCCAACCAACTTACAGTTCATATGAACAATTAAATGGATATAGTCTAAGTGGCAATACTCAAATAGAAAGTAGTAGAAAAGAGATCAGTTACAATTTCTACCCAGTAAGTTTGTCGGAAAGAGATAATGCTTTGCATAATTTCTTTGTGTCAGCCTTTTTTTATTAAGATAATCACACAGTCCTTAGTAATTGGCACAATAGTTGGAATATCATAGATCATTATTAATTATTGTTAATCCCAAAAACAGTGTTCCTGTGTTTTGAAGCTGTTGTAATTCATGAACCTATCACTTTACTAGTGATACTAACCTTGGCCGGTAATATGTTGTTAACATTTTGAGTACTGAATTAAGTTATATCAGCTAATCACCCGATAACCAGTCAGTTAATTCCGTATTGCGACTAAACCTACGATTTCAGGTTTATCATACACATGTTGTTGATGTTGTTGGAGTTAAGGATTTGTAATTGTAGAAATCTCGTAGTTTAAACCATGAAGCAATCCTAGCTTGACCACCATTGAAAACCTGGCAGCACTAGACAGGCTTTTTGTCTTAGTATGGAACCCCTCGGCAGTATTCATTTACGAACCCTCAACCAGGGATCGAACTCAGGATTTTCGGTCACGTTTTCGGACGTTTAACTTCTAGACTATGCAGTCGGGATATAATGGTGTTAATTTCTAGTTTTAGTCAATTCATGATATTGCGCAAAACTCATCCAATGTTCACAATTCTTCAGTGATGTTCTAGCTAAATTCGATTAGTGATTAAAATTGAAAATATTTGTTTCACGCTAATTTAATGTTAACTTTGGGTTAATTTGAAAATGGATTTTAGTACAACTGATTATTAGATTATTTATTGAAAACGTAGAGGAACTAAATTCATAGTGAGGATAATAGTCTTCAATGCATCTCAAAATAATACTTATTATAACTATCATAAATTTGTTGAATTCTATTATTTTTAAGCATTATTTAATGCAATATAAATTCTAGTAAACTAATGATTTTATCTAGTTTTGTAATCTTTGTTATCCAAGTTTTAAGAAAATCCTTTCACTCATCTACTCATTAATTTATTGAATATAACTTGGGCATATCAATGAATATACTTAAATCATTTTAACTTGAAATACTAATAATATCGTCAATAACTATTCATCGTCATTCCACAGCACAGTGACTACACTGAAATGAAACTTGTAGATAACCAACATTTTTTTTTCATATTGTAGTGTATTTGACCTTTACTTTTCCAAGGCGGCCTGCTTGAATATCTGAGCTACCTGTTTCCACCATCTGGATATTCCAACAAGTTATCTAATTCCTTGTTTGTTTTAACACATCATTATGTCTATTAATCGTATAACCTATTCAGGTGCGTTTGTGAAAAGTTTACGACATTTCGCTGTACAAGTTACAAAAGAGCCCAATCAGAGACATCGTGGTTGCTGGCAATATGCATCCAAAAGAATATACATTAATCAGATGTCGATTCCTGAACTGCCAACATCTAACTGACGACCACCCAATATTTATCGCAAGGGTCGATCAAGAAATAAGAAGAAAACGTGTTGAAATACTTTGTGCTGAGAATTCTATATTGTACCAAAAATATAATATTGAACAAAGTCATTAAAAATAATAATAAAACCTTATGTCTAAATTTTTTATTAAAAATTACTAATGGGTACCAGTGGGATCTAAAACGTGTAGTCTTCATGTTGGTTACTCGTCCCAGCCATGATGTCTATAGTGGGACTCAAACCCACTACCGTTCGTCCCAAGTGCTAATGCATTATGTACCGAGCTCATGAGTCCAAATATTCACGGACTTGTTCAGCGGGTATGAATTTTTTTGTTAGTGTTTGAATTTTCCGTTGTTGATGTTATGGATTCCATGGCCTGGGTTCCACTGCCAAACAGACTCCAACTTTAACAAAACTTATAATTAGACGGTGACATCTGGGTCACTTGTTTATGATGCAGATATGGTATTTGTAGTCCTTAACTATAAAAAAATACAAGAAAAGGCGAACCCTTTTCAATCTAAATATATTTGTTATATTTTGAAAAGACCCAAAGTAACCGTTTAAAGGGTAACGATAAATTATCAGACATAATGTCTTCTAGACTTTCAAACAATGATACTTTTGTTATATATATATATATATATATATATATATATATATATATATATATATATATATATATATATATATATATATATATATATATATATATATATATATATATATATATATGAGTAAAAGATTATGCACTCTGATATTTCTAAATAATTGTTGTTTGGTTTCTTGTCTACCTCGAAAACCTTTTAAACAAAAGTCTAATCTTTCTACTTAACAACATATTCATTTGCCTGAAATCTCCACCTTATCTTATATATCTTATGTTGAATATTCACTTATTACAGACTTCAGCATCTGGTGTATTTCGAATGGGTATATTGCAGCAGGCAGAACTAGCTAAAGCTCATAAGCAATTTTGTCACAAGTATTATTCATCACCTCCCATAAAACTGGAAACCAAAACACGTTTGCACACATTATGTTCACCAAACGTAAATATTCACAAAACCGCGCAACCATGTTTCAATAACGATAACAGTAATTCACTTACTTCAGGAAACTCTAGCCAGCGGAAACCTTTAATGCTATCACAACAACGATATACACTCAAAGACTATAGTTTATTGCCATCAATCAACTCAAAATCACGTGGATTAGGTCCTGATATAGATAATGAAGAGTATCGTCAGAAGGTAAGTAATTGGCACTTTTCTCATAGAATTTGCCAAACTAATCATTAGGTGGAAAGCTGGTGAAAAACGTTTTTGTTACCGTATTGGAAATAAATAATGACAGTTGGAGAAGTATGACGAATGGAATAAATTTTCTGTTATTGACCTTTACATCAGTATTTCTAGTTTATTTAGTACTCGTTCAAGGTAGAAAAAATTAAAGCGCATTAATTGTTTGTCTCTATTATAAGTGACATCCCTAGTTTCTTCTAATACTTCAGTTTTGAAAAAAGGTGACTGTCTTATACGGAAAAATTTGAAGGTTAGTACTTTTTAAGGTTTTGAATCAGTATTACTAGTACCTAGTACTGCTTACTGTGGGTGGTTTGATGCACGTTATTAGATAAATAATTTAAAGGCATGACACTTTAACCACTTCAAGTTATCTTCTGAAAGTACTCAATATTCACTAGTTTTGATATGAACTTTTTAAATCCTTAAGTTTTCAAGTCATATCTCCCGGAAGAATTTTATGCAGATTGTCTTTATGTGTAAGTGAAATTCGTTGCAAATTGAACTCGGTTGGGACCCTAATGAAAATCAACGGGTGATTCACGGCCTTTTATATTTGAGAATATTTATCTTTGAAGCATTTGCTTTGTACGATATGTTTGAATACAATATTCGGCGAGACTCTAATTTATGGACGAGCCAGTTAGAAGCGTTTGAGGAATTTCACGGTCACGGCGCTAATTTCAATACCTGATGCTTACGTACGATCAGTTTACAGCGGATTTTAGAGAAGAGATGATTATTGAGCGGCTACAGGAGATGGGACAATTAAGAAGTTCCTTTACCTGCAACTGCGGTAATCAAATGACTGCAGTACCGTACGCAGACTTTCGTGATAACATTGTGTTTCGATGTTCTTTATGTTGGAAAAAGAAGGCATTTTTGGAGGGTCAGAAACTGGCAAGCAAGCACAATAATACCAATTATACAGAAATACGTGCAGCCGGGCACTACGATATATACAGATGATTGGAGAGCGTATAGATGCCTTCATAGACTTGGGTATGTCCATCATTTCGTAATGCATGAACGCCACTTTGTCGACTCCACTATCGGGATTCACACTAATTACATTGAAGCCATGGGGTCAAGACTGAAGGAATTTTTAAGACCGTATCAGGGCTCCAGAGGACGCCTATTATGAAGCCATATGGACGAGTTTCTGCATCGTATGCAGTATGATTTCAGAACATCTGAACCTTTATCAAACCTCAACAAGTTTTTAAATCATGTAAAAGAAGAATATCCACTGCAATTCATTAGTTTCTTATAATATATTTTCACTTTATACTAACTCTTTTGATTGGGTAATAATTGTCAAGGTCACATAAGATTCTTTCAAAGGTCGTCCATAAATTAGTCTCGCCTTTTTTCTTTATTAAGCTTGCTCGAAAACTCCGACAAAATGTTTATGCAGAGCACATAAGAAAGTGTAAAGAAAAATCTAATGCTAGAGTTTTACACTCAGAAAACAATATTATTGGTTGTACTGATTCTCATAATGAAACTTCGAATTCCTCACCTGGTGACAAACATTACAGTAATAAAGAAAATGAAGAAAAGTTTGAACCAGATGCTAACAAATGTTCAAATCCAAATCTAACCCAAGCTACACAAAACAAATCTGAAAATCTAAGTGATGATAAGTCGAAAGATAAACACAATACTTTGCTTTGTTCACCGCACCAAATATCTTTATCAAGTCATCAAACTTTTAAAAATGGTACAAATCTGGAATCTAAAACTGGGACTGCGAGAAATCCACCAGAAATATCAAAAGAGGAGATGAATAAGCAAAAGGCAGCAGAAAAACGTTTAGCTGTAGGTCTTTGATTCATAATAATAATAATAATCGTCTAATTTGTTTTTATTTTATATACAAGCTTTATGTATAATAACTTTTCAGTCACTATCTTATGAAAATAATGAACAATTTTATAGTGTTCTTATTGATAATCTCATTATTCTTATTGAAATATTCAAATCGTTGGAAAAATACATAGCTCAGGCATTTAAGTAGGGAGCTAAGAGTTCGTTCCAATAATATTAGAATACATATGATATCATAATGAATTAACCCAGCCGTTGTTGCTACCTTGACGTGGTGGTCGTGCTTGTCTATCGTGATGAACCAATCGAGTTATACTGGGTGGAATAATCGTTTCTCAAGGTCCTACCATGGCAGACAAGTCGGTTGAATAGCGGTAAGACTAAAAACAACAAACTCAGGGTTCGAAGGCTAAGTCGTACTTCTGACTGTACAGAGGTATGACGGCAGTAAGGTCGACCCTAAAAATGCACACCTCGCCTTATCCCACAGATATCCGTCTCCGGCGGTAGGGTCTCAACAAGTAAGGAGCTAACACGAAAATTACTCACAAAAAGGTCGTGTGTGACCGACCTCAAGCAGTTGTCCCTTGCTCACTGTGGTCACACTCTCAGGTCACTAATACCACCTCTAACCCACTATCCTTTTCAGGTACCTCCAGAAGAACCCTTCCACGGTGTGGGCAACCGGGAAGTGAAAACCGCTCTCGTTCCTCTAATTGCACTCGAAATCACTGTATTCATAATCAATCTGATAATGAATTAATAAAATACTGATATTGCAGTTGAAAAATGTAATTGAAAATTAACGAAAAAATTCCATATTTCCTGGACTACCTAATAAAAAAGTGTCATTGCTTTAAAATATTTTTTATCTATTAATCAATCAATTTCATAAAAATTTCATTTGAGGTCACAACTACTAAATTGTAGATATTAATAATTGGAAGGAAATTCTGGGCATAAAGAATGCTACGTTCTCATAAAAAATATACTCTTAGCAGTAGTAGTTTTCGTTTGTCTTCTAAGTCTTCCTAATAGTTAAGGACTAGGTCAAGAGTATATATATATATACTTCTATGAATCCGGTGTCCATCTTGTTGTGTTAATGAGGTATGGCAACTTAGAACGATGCATATATGTGTCTGGTCCTACGTTGTAGCTGACTGACTGACTGAAGTATTGCTGAATAATAGAACCAGAAAAGTTGGAAAGGTCAGCTGAGGTAATTTATTCATGAGAATCGTTTGCACCATTGTTGACAACAGAAATATTATTTATGTCTAGGATGAGGTTGAATTCAAACTGCTGAACACTTGTAAACCAAACCGTTGTTTGTTTTATAGTAGTTATAATACTGAAATGGTTGTTTAAGCCTCTTATTTGTAAAAAGTAATCATATGAAGACAATTTCTGTTATGCAGTCGAATATATTAGATTTAACTGGTTGATAACCGAGTTAAAAATTTGCGAACTGAGTGAAATGCAAAATGTGAATCATTTATTTCTAGCTCAACTTATCGAAAAGTGACATTCCTTATCACTCTGGACCTATTGATCTTGGATATAATACCATGTAGAAGGACGGAATTACATCACTGAGGAGTTATAAAACAAATAAATTTACAATTGAAAGTGATTAGACATCAAAAGTATCTGTTAGTACATTACATTAATACAATACAAAGTTCATAAATAATAACGAAATTTCACTTATTAACAGTATAATGTTTTATTTGATTATAGATGTTAAATTATGCAAAACATGTTACTCAAGTTTATTCAAACCATCGTCGAATTCACACAAATAAACAGAAACAGGTAATTCATTAAAATGTATTATTCTATGTAAATGAATTCAAAGAAAATATTTGAAAATTTCCTTAATTTTTTTGGATTCATTGAATTTAGACACTAATACAATTGGATGCCGGGTCAGTGGTCTAGAGTTTAAGCACTCGTGCGTGAGACTGATAAGTCCTGGGTTCGAATCTCGCGAGGCGGGGTCATGAATGCGCACTGCTGAAGAGTCCCACAATAGGACGAAACGGCCGTCCAGTGCTTCCAAGATTTTCATGGTGGTCTAGCTTTAATTGACTCATGATCCCAACTGTTGAAATTATTTTTTAATAAAAGTTTTTGACAGTGTATAGTTTATATTTATTTGATTTTTTAAAATACAACACTGAATAAAATCCTGAAAACATTTATTTAGCTCATTTGAAATTATCGTTTTAATGTAAAAAAAAAAACAATATTGCATTAGATGACTAGATGCCATTAATTTGTTTTTGAAGGTAAAGTGTCTGATGGTTAGTAAACTTTATTGACAAACAGGTTAAAGGAAAATTAATCACACTTTGGGATTAGTTATGTAATATAAGATAATATTGGTTGATTCTATGGAGCAAAGTATTTTGATTTTATTGGGCAAAAGATTGTTTTGAAAGGAAAAGTGTTGATGTTAGATAACTGCAGGTAATCGTTGGGAAACTTCAGACATTGGTTTCATGTTGACTGACACTTATCAGCACCGATAGCGTAATAGGAACATCGCAAATATAGTGATGTAGTTTCATAAACTGTAAAATGATCAGTTCACTCAATATTACAATTGAGTCGTACTGACCATTGCCATCTAGCACTAAATTTCAACGAAGAGTTCCCAGCTTCCAGTTAACTTACATTAAATCACTATTCGTACGATGTTACCACTAGTCATATTGTAACTTGAATTGTTTTAAATCAACGATAGACTAAACAAACATGACATTACTTCGAGCAAATGTATATTATTCTAAACAAAGTCATTGAACTACATTTTACCCAACAATTAAAAATAGAGAAATAACCGTTTTTTATGAGTTTCCTAAATTAATGTTACTCATCCAACAAATTCAGGCTCATAGGCTCAATCCGGATCCATACTTTCGGAGCATCAGCAAGTGAAACTACGTGACTATCGATCTAAAAGTATGTGGAGCAGGATTCTAAACCTATCGAGAGAGAAAAAATATCAAATGATTTAATTGTCAAGGGATAAAAAAAGCCGTAGTTGAATAATTCATGAATACCCTATTGAAATAGTCACATAAAATATTGTATTTCATTTTTACTCACTTATTATTCTTTATTTCTTCACTTAATCAATGACTTTTGAACACTTATTCTTTTTTGAATCTTTTTAATTTAGGAAAATGATAGGAATTTGAAAAAGTCTAATGATTACAAATTATGGTCTAAATCTGATGCAGAACTATTAGAAATGTTACGTAGACATGATGAAGATAGGAAGCGTTTTGAAGAGATTCAAAAGACTTTAAGAGTCAAGATATGAATTTTTTTATAGATTTTGTAATTTTATTCTTTTCTTTCTTCTTCGAAATAATTTGTCTTTCATATTTTAGAAATTATGTATGAATTCTAATTTATAATTTCCTATTTGTTTAGGTTAGTGAATTGATTTTTCTGTAAGAAAAATAAACAATATTACGTAATTCAACAATAATGACAATGATTGTAATGTATATTATAATCTTTTTATAATTAAAAGAAAATACTTTATGTAACGAAAGAGACCCATTGTGCCATTGAAGAAGAAAGAGGGCCATTCAGTGTAGAATATTTGCCTTTCGACGATTTTATTTATTTAAGATGTACAATTGCATTTATAGTTAATTTTATTTGCTAAGATTGTATTCTCTAGTTAGGTAGAATGGTGCTAAATACTGAAAAAAAACTAGAAGTGGTAGGTTGTTAAGTAAATGTGATTGTCAAAAAGAAAATATTCCGATGTTCGTTGTGGCTGTTAAACGCTAAATTAGTAAACGGAAATGTCTTAACATCGTATAAATAGAGTATTTTGTAGTCACAATTGATTGATCACTGGGTGGTGATCAATGTCATGCGTGTCTAGTCCTTATTAGTGCTGATCGAATGCTATCGATCCTGTTGCAATGTAGCCATCAGTCCAGGTGGCTCGACACTGCGTGCACTATTGTGAAACTAGGTGGTGGTTGGAGGTAGTCAACAGGAAACCCTGGACCCGGGTTTCATGCTACTTGGCACTCGTCAGCAAGGTGTACTTGTAATCTTGAGGGAACTGGTGCTCCCTGGCGGATTCGATCTCGTGTCACCCAGCTTCATAGTCAGAGACGTTATCACTGAGCTATCTGAGCCGCGACCGACCACTGAGATGTAATCACAATTGATTGATCACTGGGTGGTGATCAATGTCATGCATGTCTAGTTTTTATTTTGTATTTTGTATTATTTACTCAAATGGCTTTTGTAAATATCTTTTTATGATTTATACGTGATTTTTTATCACCGACTTGTTTTATCAAGTAATCTAAGAATTACAGATCAAGTGATAAATCATCAATTGAGTTTACTCAATAGTTCATACCCACCAATCTACAATAAATCAAATATGGGGTTTTAATTAGCATTATGTCAAACTGACTGCAGTCTATTAAATTGAAAAGAAGTTTAATAAATTAGGTCAGCTTTTTTGCTGTATAATTTCACTAACACTCAGTTTGTTAAATGATACGGTAAGTCATTAATATCAATGAATTACAGATATACATATATTCAACCATTTGAAACGAACTTTGTTACAGACTAAGTTCCTTATTTTAAAGGTGACTCTAAGACAATAGAATTTACTTGAATCATTATTTTACAAACAAAAATGAATGAAATGTTAATTATGTTTTTTTTCTTTTACGTGACGTTAATATTAGGTTTTTAAATGAATTGAAACTAGAATATTCATGTCAACCCTTCAGTGAAATCTCAACAGTTCACTTTTTTAAAGTTTAGTTTATACTTTATAGAACAAGATTTTGATCTTGTGTTATCAGTAACTATTCACCTTTCTTCTACCACATTTGGTTGCAACAAGCAAGAATTCAGAATAGAATTCCTATGCATGGATATAAAAAGCAGGTTTTTGATAAATATCAGTAGAGTTGTTTTTTTACGAAAATGAGTAATGAGACACAATGCATATTTTCAAGTCTCACCTAATGATAATCAGACTGTTACCGCAGTGGTTTGATTTCTTAGTGTAAAAAATACCTCTGTGTTACGTGAATATTCAACATTGTGCAAAACCCGTTAAACAATTTTCTTTAATCCATTAATATAACTGGACTTAGAGAGTGATAGGGACAGTGAAACATAACTTAGTCCTAGACAAACAACCCATCAGGTTAAACCATTTCTACGTTAGAGAATAGATTACTGAAAGGTGAATAGTCTATGGTACATCGTTAGGGTCAAGGAAGACCAACTCAGATTATTCATTTACATACTATAAATAGGAGTATACGACAGTTGTTCGTTTTTTTACTTTTGTGACCTGTCCGTACTAATATATGCTGCTGCTCACTGAACGTACTGATTCTAGTTGGCCACATAGGAAGTCAATTAACCTGTTTTTATGACAGGATAAGTCAGGTTAGGTGTGAACCGCGAGGTGTGACTTCGGCGTTAAGTAGGATGTCACATTATTCTCTTCCAACTCAAGTAGACCCTGACCATCCACGTACATCACCCGCGTTGGCGATCAACAAAAGAATAACGTTTACAATCCGAGTATATCAATGTCAAATGTCTCAATTCGTTGTTTATTGCGTTTTCTTTTTACGAAAGTGTGAAGTTTACGATAGTTTTGTTTCACAGAATAGGCTTAGGTTACAAAACTATGTTAGTATTGACTAAAACAGGATGATGTATCATTTCATGAATGGGTAACTGTCTTACACCCGACACTGTTTAACTCCACTAGTTACGCCTTCTTACTAGAACTCCGACAATTGCTACTCAAAGTTAGTCGCTAGTGAACACATGTTAATTATCAGTATACGATTGTGGAAGTTGTTGAGTTCTGAGATCATGGACAGATCAATGTTAGATCACCGCACCGCTGAGGTGTCCCATACTAGAATAAAATGGCCGTCCAGTGCTTCCAGGATTTCAGTGATGGTCTAACATTGACCTTGATAAATTAATCAGTTGCAGTATAAATTACTGAGTGAGTTTATACATTTTAACCAATTAACTCACAAGATAGAGAAATACACTAACAATAAAGTATATGGACATGTCTCATAAAGAAAATTTTTTCCATGATATTATTTTCCTTTAAGATTCACAATCGTATTTTTAGGTAGTTTTTTTACATGTAATAATGTACTTTGAAACAGCCAAGCTTACTAAAGTCTGGAATGTAAAAGCTCGTGAAAATGGAGCATTGTTGGATTATTTCATAAAGGAATTAAACGTTATCGTGAGATTTCAAGTATTCATCATAATAGTCTATAAATAAATAGGTGTTATTTCAAGTAATTAAAGTTGTCAAAAGTTTCCAAATATTGAATAAAATAGGCATTGCATCAATAGCAGAGTAATCAAGAAATAAATTTGTGCAATAGTTTCAAAAGTATTAAAAGCAATAATTTATACAATCAATGTGATAAACAGTCATCAACTTTACAAAGAAGAACAAAGTGAAGAATAAAAATATCATTAGCACCTACGATCTGTAAAATAAGGAAGGATGCTAAGACCATGGTAAAATAAAAGATTGATGTAGTGTTTGTGCTTATTAATAAATACTTTGTGCGTTAATTCCCACATATTATGAACTCCAAGTACAGTATTTGCAGTTTTGCTCATTGAGTTCAGTTTAATTTAAAATGAACTTTTCTGGGAGTTCCTAGTTAGCATATTGATTTGATTATTTCGGAATATCGTAATTAAACGTGACATTTTTTACATAGAGTTCCGGTTTGAAATGGTGAATCAGTAAAGTGTGAAGTTCGTTATCTTTATACACGATGAACGAGGACAAGTGAAACGTGTAATGACTGAAATACAAATGTTCCTGGAAATATATTCAAGTAAATGAATTGACTAACATGCATAGCAGTAACAAATAACCAAAGCATCAAACGACTGAATAGACACAACTGGAATGAAATAATAGAAGTATTAGAATAACACCAGAATTAGACGTCTTTGCAGTTGAACTGGATTTGTATTGACACTGCCATTTAGAATCACCAGGAATCGTATCATAGTAGGAGTAACACTGGAAATAAAATATCCAGCCAGTGTACTCCAGTGAAGTAAACTTGAGACTGCATCAGACTGTTCTAATCTGCATTGTATTAAAATGAATATAAACTGCTGAAAAAGCCACTTAGTCAGCCTGTCCCGAGTATTTGCACATCAATATAGCAGTGAAATATGGTTAACAAATGGACAAATAGACAAGCAACCAGCCGAAAGAATATTGGGACGATTGACGTAAAAGGCATTACAATAAATCATAACTGAGAACAAGTTAAGCCGGTAGAATCGAATCAATACACTTGACAGTCATGTTCTCAAACAGATAACGTATTCCAAGATGGGTGAAAAATTGTTTCTGTTTCCACATAAAGCTCCAACTTTTCACAAACCCCTCATCTAAACCATCTCCCAGTCTGTTCATTCGACTTTGGAGATGATCTTGAATGAAGACTTCCGTGGTTTCATGCCACAGGAAGTAACCACGTGTTCAAGTATTTATATTTGGTTATGGCAGCTACCACATTGATGTATTCCACATCCTTATTGTGTTACTTGAAATAAATGAATTTTTGCATTGTTTTTGGCTGTAAATGGAGTCATTCTTTCAGAACTGGAGACATTCGGTTTCATAACAAGTAATTCCTAATATTTTTGTTATTGATATTTCTGTAAAATTGAGTATCACCTACGTGGTTTATCAAGAAAGGGTAGAATAATATTCCTATAATAGTCGGAATGTTTACTTGTTGTGCTTCGCAACTCTCGGATATATTTTATTACTTTACCTATTTAATGTCATTTGGATTTGACCAACCAATTGGGTGAATAACTGGGTGGTCATATTTGTTTAGGTAGAAATGTACACTTAAATTCATAAACATTTAGAACCATCTTTAACGCAATCGTTACAGCAGGAACTTAAAGTAATTGACTAATTGATATTTGTTATATTGAATATCATTCATTTCACTGTGACTTGAATATATTCGTTTCACTCATATTTTTAACTTCTCTGTTTATAACTTTGACCTTGGATTTTTCGGTTTGGACAGTTATGGTTAAGTATTTCGAAAATCTGGCTCAACAACATCAAGGGATGCGCAAACCGTTAATCCAGGGGTTTTCGTGCACATATTACATATTGTTGCGGATATTTTGTGTCGTTAATTATCAGCTGTTAACGGCATTTTTTCTGTCACACGTCAATTTTCATAATGTTTGTGTTTGTTACATAGCCTTTATTCTATTTTATTAGTAGTTTGACGTATTTGTTGCTCACAACCCAAGTGAATGCTTAGTCAGCCTGATGTGGTTATTTGTAACAATACAAACTCGAGCAGGTAAAATTCACCATTGTTCAAGTCAAAAATAGGTCGTAAATAGAGTTTTAAGGAAAATAAGCTTTAAAATATTTTA